AAAAGAATTTAGTTATGATAGAATCTAAAGTGTTAAACCAGTGTGATGTTAGTTGGACTGGGGCCATAGAAAAAAGATTTATTTATTTGAGGCAGTATGGCTATCTTTATTGCTGTGATTGTTTCAATTAATGTTTGTATACCAGTAATACAAATGGTTTGTCGAATGGCAGCTGCAAGAGGTCCAATGAAAATGGCAAACAATAATAGAGAGAGTGGATATCCTTGTCTTGTTCCCTGTAGCAGTGTAAAGCGTTCCAAGGTATGGTAATTGGTTATAACTGCTGCGGACGGGGAGTATTGGGTTTTAATCCACTGAGTGAAAGACTCCCCAAAACCAATTTTTTGATGATGCTGAAAAAAAATATCCAGTTGACTTTATCAAAGGCCTTTTCTGCATCCAATGGTGCAATTATGGTGTTATGCTTGTTTCTCTGGGATGTACTGATGAGGCTGAATGGAAGACACATGTTAGTGGATTAGTGTCTGCCTCAGTTTGGTCTTGGTGAATTAATGTAGATATTACTGTTTAAAATGTTTTGGCTAATGCTATACTTAGGTCGCAGTTAATCAGTCTTATTGGTCTGTAGCTGGAGGGTTGAGTCTTTTTTAGGTTCAAGTAGAACTGAAGTAAGGGTTGTGTTTGTGCTTGGGTATGGATCCACACGAATGATTTAACTTCATTGACCATTTGATGGAAAAAAGGTGATATGAGTTGCCAATTGTGTTTATGGAATTCTATTGGGTAACCATCAGAGCCAGGAGACTTCTTGTTGGGCATGAAAAAGATGGCTTTTCTAAGTTCCTCTGAAGTTATGGGTTGGTCTAATATGTTGGCTTGTTCTTTGGATAATTGGAGGTCAGTGCTATTAAGGAAGGAGTGGATGTTGGAGGTCAATGTTACACAGTGGTCCTTTTAGCTAAATGCTAACACCACCATTTATGGTGGCGCTAAATGAAAAGCTAATTAATCACCAAAGTTATTAAAAATAATCTTGAGGGGTACATGGATGTTTCTATCAAATACTGTACCAAAACATCCAGTAGATGTTGAGATATTTCACTACATACATGAAAACTTGACCTGACCTGCTGGTGGTGCTCTGCAAAGTCAGGGGCTGACCAAAGTCAATAGGCTTCATCCATTTAATAGTTAGATATTTAAGTTGAGATCTGTCTGGACCAAAGTAGTGGACCAACCAACCATCCCTAGAGTGATGCCACTAGCATGGCTAAAAGTCCTGGTTTAATCCATGTTTAAAGTTAACGCTGGCTACTACAACCCACCCTGAATGTGATCACACTCACAATACCACTAATTAACGAAGCTCAACCAGTTTTGAGGCACTGACATTAACTCATTCCATCTTGGCATCTCAGCTATACGCACATCTTTCATTTTCTTTAGGCATTTTTGAAATGTCGATCGAGCTGGCTCACGTGAATTTGAAAATCAATTGAGCATATCACAGTCTGGCAACAGACTCACCGCCCAGGGTCTTGGTTTTTAGTCGTCTATTACCTCTGCTGTGAATCTTTCTCCATTCATTATAGTGAAGTGAAGCTCAACCAGTGGTAGTCCATTGACTCTAATTATGTCTTTCCAATCAAAAACCCAGACAGCAATGTTCCCGGCTGTGGATAATAAAATTAAATGAATTTGTAATTGAGTTTATTTTCTAATGGAAAGTGAAGAGAGGATGCCCAGAGACATGAACAACAGGTAGATGAGTCATTCTCCTCTTGCATATAGTAGAATTACTGCCAGGCATTTTGCATTCAGTACCACAGGGGCCAGAGATGCACACAAAAACATAATGTATCAAGTACTCTTTGATGTGATTTATGCAGCTTCCTGCATGACCACTGTGTCGTTATGCAACTTCCTGCATGACCACTGTAGTGTGATGACACTAAGTTTGATTTAGGTCTCTAAATGAAATGTGTATTAGAATTTTATATGAGAACATGCAAATGAGGTTTTCAATGTAGCTTCACTTGGTACAATACAGGGTTTAAGCAAAATCACACTAAAATTAGTTTGTTACATCAAAATTATATTTTAATTGTAGAGAATGCCTCTTGTCTGTACCATATGTCAGATGTTCTGCTTCTCCAATTCATATATTTTCATATTTGCTTATTTTTGTAATTCTCCCCTTACTTTTTGTACAGTCTAAATGATGGCTTTCCTCTAATATGAGGTTTGTCTACATTACTAGAGAGGAATTACTGTACATTTGCTAAATGTATTATGCATAGTTTGTTGGTCATGTGGCCCATTTTTTGTATATGGAACATCTGATGTGTCATTTGCATGAAAAAAATCTCTTATGTCATGCAGAGATTAAAAATGACATAAAGATTTGATGTGTTGTGAGACTTGGAACTTCTACAACTGTGACCATGTCATGTTTACCTTTTTAAAGATTCAGAAGGACTGCAGACCCGTCTAAACCCAGAAATAAATTAGGTAAGGGTGTGACAACTAAAACGATTGGTCTAAGAGTCACACCAGCCAAGTTTGCTTCAAATCTGCAGGGAGGGACATGTCCTTCTGAGGACCTTGCTGCGCTTGATCAATATATATATCCCCTATGG